CCAGCTGGGCCCAGCGCTTTTGCTTTTCTTTTCAGAGCTCCTGGCAGCAGCCAGCTTGTCCTCCTCCTCCTCCTCCTCCTCCTCCTCCTCTCCCAGGTCGGAGGCCAGGCTGCCTGCCTCCCGCCCCATCCTGGCAGCAGGCACCCGCTCCCCTGCCAAGCGCTGGCTGGGTTTCTTTCTTTCCCCTGCTTGGCCCTCGGTTCGGCCCCAGCTGCTGGGACAGCCCGGCCGATAACGCCCTGGGAGCATCACCCTTGCGTAAAGGATCCCTGCGGGGACCCAGCATGGCCGGGGAGCCGGACCCCCCCACCCCGAGCACCAGGGCGGCTCTTGCTGCTCCGACAGGCCAGGACAAACCTCCTCCCTCCCAGCAGGAGCCCCCCAGGCCAGCAGCCGGGCAACCCGCTCCTCGGTAGCAGAAACAGGGAAGGTAGCCGGCCGAGCTTGGCTTGGGGAAGCCTAGCTCCCAACACGGCGCCTCCCATCTACAGCAGCGCTGGATTCCCAGCAAACGGGCAAAGGCTCCGGAAATCGCTGGATCATTCCGAGCCCCCTTTGCCTGCAGCCCGACACGGCTCAGTGGGAAGGAGAAATCTGCCCGGATCAGGGGGGTTGGGCAGGTGCTGCATCTTCTCCAGGCCCCAGGGGAGCAGGAGAGGAGAGGGTGGCGCACCAGGAAGCAATGCTGCAGCCCCCCCGTGTCCTACTCCGGGGACAGTCACAGCACCTGGTATGAGAGGCAGGAGAACCCCAACCCCGTCCAGTGACCGGGGAAGCCAGAGCAGGAGTGTAGAGCATGGGGGCAGCAGAGCCAGGAGACCGGGCTGCTGTAGTTGTGTGGGATGTGACCAATGTTCCCACCAATCTTTTCCATTGACCTGTGGATTTTTCCATCTATGTGCAGAATACATTTTATTTTGTGCACCAAGGCACGTGTGGATGTGCACCACCACTAGAAACTCAAACCGACCTGCGGGTGCTCCGCCAATCAGTTAGGCAGCTGCAGAAGCTCCCGGTGTCCCCTGAAAACTGGATGAGATGTGGGTGCAAAACAGGAGGTGTTAACTGCTGCCCAGCTTTAGGAAGGGAGTGGGGACTAGTGGCTAGAGCAGAGCCTGCTGAAAGCCAGACTCCTGGGTTCTGTCCCCAGCTCTGTCGCAATCTGTGACACCTCAGAGGGTCACTTCCCCTCCCGGTATCCAATGGGAGCGGAAGTTTGACTGTAACGCACACTGAGATCCTAATTCCCAACCCCTGTGGCAAGATCACTGCTGGGAACCCACCAGCCCCGCCCCCTGCCGCCAGGAAGAGCCAAGCTTTGTAATCCACAAATATTAATTTAATGGTTAAAAACATTAAATTATCCCCCAACATTTCCTCCAAAGCACAATAAATAGATTCTGGTTTAATCTCTGTTTAAAAAAACAAACCCCGCTCTGTACACAGCACAGACCCCCAATTCATTCCGGGGAGAGGCTGCTGCAGGAAGAATCAAGCTCAAACGTTTGCAACGCAAAGACAATTCTGTTTCGAACAGGCGGGCGCTGGGGGGGGGGGGGGGACGGGTCCGAGAAGGGGAACCACCAGCCATGGAACCCCACGCTCCGGCTGGGGGGACCGCAGAGTCTTTAGGGCCACCTGGACCAAGGCCTTGAGGGGGGGCAGAGCGGACAAACTATCTCGGAGCCATGGGGGGATCCCAGCAGCTGGCCAGCGCTAGGCACAGGTCTGCCCCATAGCCCTGCTCAAAGGCAGCTCCAGGGGGTGCCAAACACCTGCTGGGCTCTAGCCCTCTGCCCCTCCGCATCAGCTCCTTTAACCCTTTGCATGCCTCCCCCTCGGGTTCAGTGCAAACCAGA